TTAGGTGACTGTTAGGCATTCCATTTTACCAAGTTGACATCCTAGAATTATTAGCCTAAGTCATCTACAGGGATATTGTTAGGGGTTACTCGGTAGATTAGTGGTATGTACTGTATGTATGTGTGTACCCGTACATGTAATACCCCTAATCAGTAATAGCTACCTTCTACTTTAATACAAATAGTTGACCATATGTAATGTAAATTATCTATTGTCAAAGTTCAAACTTGACAAGAGCTAGCTTAAAGTTCACTTCACACAATTAAAATCGAAGCTTGGAAGCTATTATTTTTTTATTTAATCGTTTATTTGGCAGGGACAATACACAGTAATGAACACTAAAAAAAATTAAATGTGTCAAGCGTAACAGTGCCAGATTTAGCAATTGAGCTAATTTCCATCTGCAGTCCCTCACATAAAAACATTTAAGACATTTACATTTTACAAACATAGTAAAAACAAAATACATGTTATGCAAAAAGTGCAAAATAGCAAGAGCAGCATACACAAGTATTTATGACATGGTAATACAATATAGCAGCTACTACATATAAAGTGCAAGAGAAGATACAAGAGCTACATAAAGTGCAAGAGGAGAAGTGTCTTAAAGTGCATTTAGCGGTGATTGCACGTCTCTTTGTTTCTCATCCATTCTTTGAGTTGACCTTTGAAGCTATTGAGAGTGGGACAATCCCGTATCTCAGTTGGGAGGCTATTCCACAATGAGCTGCCTTTAATGGACAGGACATTTTGTCCAAAAGTGGTCCGTCTGCGGTGGACTTCACAGTCTCCTCTGGTTTCTGACCGATATGGACATAAACGCGAGTAAAGTCTAATCTGACGGGAGAGAGAGATCAGCTGCTGCTGACGAGTCCACACGCAGCTCTGCATAATCACATGCAGCGGTTTGCGGACAAAACACACACTTCAGGTTAGAATATCACACGTAGCTATTTTAATTACCTCTCAAACTACCTAAACTAGTTATAGATATGTTTAGTTTTACTGTCGGGTCACTCATTACTGATCCGCGAGCTGCATGATACTGACGGGCTGTCAGGAAAGGGAGAGAGCGCTCCATTATTCCCGTGTTATTGGAAATTACTGTACACTTTTGAATAATGTAGTTAATCTACTATAATGAGTTTGTTTAATATCGAATCATATCAATTTGTTTTAAAGCACAATAAATAACAAAGAAGACTTTTGAACGGCACTTTTCTCATTTAGTCCAGAAGATTTAAACTCTAACGGACATGTTGACCGGGGAAAAAATATTCTAACGGGAACTCTGCCTAGTGCAGTATTTNACACACACACACACACACACACACACACACACACACACACACACACACACACACACACACACACACACACACACACACACTCTGTCAGCTGACTCTCATTTTGCAGCGTTCTCAGTTTTTTTGATGTTTCTCATGATAATATTAGAGGAAGTCAAACTGCTGAGTCATCACGACTGTGTGTGTGTGTGTGTGTGTGTGTGTGTGTGTGTGTGTGTGTGTGTGTGTGTGTGTGTGTGTGTGTGTGTGTGTGTGTGTGTGTGTGTGTGTGTGTGTGTGGTCATTCATAAGAACCTCTCTCAATAGGAAACTCTGCTGCAGGTAAACCTGTTTCTGCACAAGACCAGACCTGTTGACCAATCACTGACTCAGTGTGTGTGTGTGTGAGAGAGAGAGAAAGAAAGAGAGATACAACAGTGTGTGTGTGTCTGAGAGAGGGAAGTGTGTGTGAGAGAGAAGTGTGTGTGTTGATAAGGATGCTCACAGTCAGGGGGAGCTGTGTGTGTCCTTGAGGTGTTTTGGCAGCGGCCTCATCAGCCAATCAGCTGCCAGCTTGCAGGCAGGGTGTCGGGCAGCCGGCCAATCAGGGCAGAGTTTACAGGATTAGGAGCAGAGAAGAAGAAGAAGAAGTTGCTCGTCTGGTCCGACTGGATTCTCCTCCTTCTTCTTCTCTCACTTCCTGTTTTTACTGACTCCCCCTCTCATCCTGTGTGTGTGTGTGTGTGTGTGTGTGTGTGTGTGTGTGTGATGCCCTGCTTCCTGTGTGAAGGATCTGAAGGTGTGATGAGTAAAATGTCCTGGAATAAGAGTTGTAGTTGAAACAAAGTAAAGGACTACAAATCCCACTTTATTTTAACATGTCATCTTTTAAATCGGTCCTCCTCCAGGCTCTCTGCACTTGTTCATGCCTGTCAACCAAAAGCATTCCTACACACACACACACACACACACACACACACACACACACACACACTGAGCCAGTTGTCAGCAGTCCTCTCTTCCTCCAAATGGTTTTAAATGTTATTAAAAAATGTTTTTTACATTTTCAATAACTTCTTCAAAGCATCCACCTTTATTACATCTAACTATAACTCAAGAGTATTTTTTAACAAAAGGGTTCAAATATATCCATATATTTAAAACTGACATCCTCGTTAGCACAAATCTAACCAGGATGAAAAGGTTTAAACTGTTTGTGTTGGTGTCTATTTGAGGAGTGTAACCTGACCCCCCCCACACACACACACACACACATACACATACACATACACACACACACACACACTTTAACCCACAAAGCTCCTGCTAAGCCAGCAGCTAATGAGCTAGCAGCGCTAACTGCCTGCATTGTTGTCGTTAGCTCGTGATGCTAACAGGCTGCAGATTAGCCAGAGAGCCGCTAACTGCCTGTTAGCATCACGAGCTAACGGGTTTTAACACATCGTGGCTGACGTGGCTAACGTGGTGACGCAGGATGTAGTTTAGGATCTCTTTGTAAACCTGAAAAGATGCTCCTCCTCCTCCTCTTCCTCCTCCTCCTCCTCCTCCTCCTCCTCTTCCTCTGCATCCTAATTAGCCTTAGGTCTCGTTAAGCTCTTAATCTTCCTCCTTCCCCCTCTCCTCATCCTCCATCGTCCACAAATACCTCCTCTCCATCAGCAGCTTTGCAGCCTGTTGCATCCTCTTCATCCTCCTCTTCTTCATCATCTTCTTCCTCCTCTTCTTCATCTTCTTCATCCTCCTCTTCTTCATCTTTATCTCAGATTAGCTCCTGTTTTCTACGGACTGACAGATGTACCCAAACCACATTCTGTTTGTAGTTCCTTTTAATGTTTTGTAGTTTTTTAAAAACCTCTGTTGCAGCGTTTCCGCCAGGGGGGGGTCTTATTCAGCTCGGGGCGCCCTGAACGCGAGCCGAGGGCGTCCAAAGATATTAATAATTTGAGAGAAGATCGAGAGTTGTTATCTCTTGAAATGAGGAAAAGGACGAGGCCGTCCCTGCTGGAGGGGCAAAGCAGTCTGGGGGGATTCTGTTCAGAGTATTGAGGATCATTCCCCGACATCGAAGGTGCCTGCTACGGGACAACACGGAACGTGCGCGATTTGGACGCACTGAGCGGGGGGGTTTTAGCGGAGTGCGTGAGCTGCGAGCACCGGAGCCTCGCAGCGGAGAAACTGAGGCTCCGTGGTAAACTGTGGAAACATGAAGAGCCGTGTGGGAGCCGAGAGAGCCGGAGCTTTAATGGCGCATTCACACTGCAGCGCGGAGCTCGCTTTAAGCGTTCCGAGCCGTGCGGGGCCTGTTTTTGGTTGCGCTTCCACTCGGCCTAGTTCCGGCCCGGGGCTACTTTTTCACCTTTTTTCTGGCCCGACTAAATGGTGGTTCTATGGAGGCAACAAGCGGGCGGAATATGCTAAACTAGGGACGACTGCTGATTGGTCAGAGAGAATCGTCACAATTCTCGCGCGACTTAATCCCTAGTGTCGCATATATTAAGAGACGCTTGCAGCATTTTTGAAAACAGTGAACCTAAGAAGAAAAAAAGCACATCCCAAGAAGCAAGCACACGACGGCTTCCACGTCCTCCATTGTTGTTGTGTGTTTTGTGAGTTGTGTCGCATTGAAGATGACGTCACGGCAGTTGTATGCAGCGTCACTCCGCCCGCCAAAAAGCCGATCGCCCCGCCTACACTGCGTTACTATAGTAACTACCCCAGTTCCTAAACTGTAATGTGAGCGCAGCATTAAAGTGAGCCGGGCCTAATAAGGCCTAACCAACCGAGCAAGGCCGAGCGAGGCCTGCAGTGTAAATGCGCCATTAGACACCCTGCTTAGCCCGTTATCACGTACAATGTGCTGGAGTGCTAGCCAACAGTATCGCAAGTGTTACATAGTGATGTCGCCTGAGTCCAATGGTGGCATTTTGGGCGGGAGGGGGCTGGGATTTTAGCCTTTGCAGACCATTTACATGCATAGAAACCGGCATTACACACTACAGGAAAGGTAAAACCCCAAAAAGCAACAGTAACATAATTTCCAAAACATCTTATATATTTGTACAACACTGACACAGACCATTTATCTGCACCATGAGGACTTTAAGTGCATTATGCTGATAATGCTCATACACTTTTACCTGTTTTAGTAAGGTTTTGAAAGAATAGCTAGTGCTGACCTTTTTAATTTCAGAAAATAAGTGGGGCAGCGAATAATGGTTATTTTTGGTAACAATTGATTTGAATGGTCCGCTTTCAACATTTTGTCACTTATTTATATCTTATTAGTTCACATTCAATTCAGCTAAATTATTCGTATAACAGGTAGGTATGTTCATAAATTGTCACGTAAACTATTATATACCTATTCAAAATAAAGTGTCACCTTAGTTTTTGCTGCAAATTACTTATCAGGCAAAGCTTTTTTTTTTATGTACAGCATTTGAGTGCATGCATTTAAAAAAAGCAGAGGACATTTCAGATTTCAATAGGGGAGAAGACAGAAAAACTAAATGCCATTAGATGAAAGCTACGCGATTCATATCATTGTTTATAATGAGCAAATCTTCCCTCTCTCGTTCTCATCCCCTGTTCTTGCCATGGGGTCCATGCTGGCATTGTCAAACCCTGCGTCTCACAGAGAATTTAAAATTATTTTTCTATTTTCTATTCTGAATACTGTCTCATCTTCCGTAGTGGGATGGCGTCGGCCCATTTCCAGACTTGGCGGAGCCCCCGAAAGGCATCCAGATGTTATGGCACCCCACCATCGTGAAGCCCTACCTCACGCTGCTGTCTGAGTGCTCAAACCCAGACACCCTGGAGGGAGCAGCTGGGGCTCTGCAGAACCTGGCTGCTGGCAGCTGGAAGGTAGGGACTGTGCCTACACCACTGTGATACTAAAGGGCATCTGCAGAAGTCTAGGGAAATGCCATTGAGTGCCAAAGTGTTCTGAACAATTTGAAATCTCTTCAACAGCCCCCATATTCTGGCCATTTTGTGCTTTGAGATAGCACACCTTATATACTGGCCCTTTATGAGTAAACATTTGGTACATCACCCTCTGTAATCAACACAATTATGACCTTAAAAAGTAATATTCAGATAATGACATAAATTACAGGGGAGTGTTTGATTACTACTAGATTTCAAAGGTTGTTTTCTTACCTCATTGATTGTTAAATCACAATCAGTATCTTAACATACAACCCTTTGGCTCATCAAGCTTTGGGCAGATTCTAACAGTAATCCTGCACTTGAAGAATGCATTTTCTTGTGAAATAGAAAATGCTAGTGGATACAGTACCACCAGTTTTGCATAAAGGGTACCACCTTGGGTGATCCAGAGTAAAAAGTGAATCCTCTCCAAAACCACTGCACTGCATTTTCTAAAGAAGGCAACGATCAGTCTGAAAGTCCCAAGTAAGTGAACATTACGTTGAGGATTTGTCAGCCAATCATATGGTTTTATCCCTTTAAGGGATAGATCTAATATTTCGTAGGAGTTGATTGCAGTCTGTCACATATGTTAGCCACCTAAACAATATCAGTTTAAGTGTCTGTATATTTAGCTTATTTTTAACACAGCACCTTGCTGTCAGACATCACTTTCCAACAGGTAACTTAAGCCGTTATCTGTGCTCTCCTAAAACCAGTCTCCATTGACAGTTTAACCTTTTGGTAAACACAAGTTGCTGCCCAAATGTGTTAGTTTGTTTTGGTTATTGCCAGATTACTGTCTATTTCTTCAAACTGACGAAATACCCAACCCACATCTACTGTAGGGTATGGAAGGGTACCTAACAAAAAACATTTAAAAACATCAACACCGTTCATTCAAGAGAACAAATCCAAGTACACTAGAAATAAGCAAAAAGGGAAGACAAAAGGAAAAAATATCAAACCTCTCTTCGTCCACCTCCAACCCTCTCTTCCCTCTCTCCTACCCAGTGGTCGGTGTATATCCGGGCTGCGGTGCGTAAGGAGAAGGGCCTCCCTATCCTGGTGGAGTTACTGAGGATAGACAACGACCGGGTGGTGTGTGCCGTGGCCACCGCGCTGAGAAACATGGCTCTGGACGTCAGGAACAAGGAGCTCATCGGTGAGTGGCCCATTCACAGCATAGACAGAGTGAAGGGAAAACACAGAGTCTGGAATAATGTGACATGGAAAATAGTCTGTTATTGGGTGAATGCAACATTTCCAAAGCAAGCCATCTTTATTCAGGAGTTGAGTGAATTGAAGATAATGGTACTGAAAACAAGTGCAGTTATCTTGACCCCCTTGCAGAACTATTCACTCGCTTAAATATTGCATATGATAATCGTTTATGTAAGTAGATGTGTTTAGTGTCTTTTTTATTTTAAGCTGCTGTTAAATGTCAATTGTGTAGAGGGTTATTGCTGTTAGGAATGGTCTTATATTTAAAATTGAAGTCACAAATGGTATAGTATTTCTATAAATGTACCCCCATATTGCCTCTATTCAAGTGGTAATTTCTTTTGACTGATTGTTTGAAGCTTAATTTTCCTTTTGAAACCAAGTGATATCTGTAATGAACACTTTCTTCCTGCTGGTCCCCATAGCAACAACCGCATGCCTCCCTCCTCTTGCTCTGTCTGATGCTTGAGGCTCTGAGCTGAGGTTGTCTGTGTGTGTGGTCTAGTTTGTGACTGCAGCCATTCATGTGTACTGTGTATGAAGGTTGTAATGGCAATTTTATATCGCAAGAATGTATATTTTGATGGGAAACATTTTCCTGCTCTCACTCATTGTGTTGACATGATGAGATTACCCAGCAACGCGACATATTGTGTAGTTGCATTCTCAGAGCTTTCAGTAGTTTATCAATAGGGCCACCACAAATACGTCCGCTGTGAGCCAACAGTGGATTTATTGCTGTAATGTCACAAATAAGATATAGCACCATAACCCAGTTTATATGAATTTCTTATTATTGGAAGTGAATTGGGGGTTTTTTAATCGCTAAAATGGTGTGCTTATATCAAATGGTCTTGTTTTAGCTTCATAGAATAGTGCAGAGGTTCTTAATTGTTTTTCAGCAAAGGACCCCGAACAAGATAGAGAACATACCGGGACCACCTTATGTTTGTCACTTGGAAAAATGTTACATTGCCTTGCATTCTTAATTAATATTCTTTAGTCCCAGTGCTAATTTGTAGTGTATTTCAGAATATAACCAAACTCATGGTCTAATATTAGAATGTGCCTCTATTTAAGCTTAAAAAAAGTTGAAATAGTATCTGAGAAATTAGAAAAAATGTAAAAAATAATCTGATTTTATATCATGAATTTGAAATAATGAACCCCCTTGCAGAATGCTACAGACTACATTTTAAAATGCACTGGTGTACTGTGTTCAGAGACATGTCCTGTCTTTGGTTCAGAAATGTCCCTGTTGCATTGCAAACGATATACTCTTGTCTTGCAACCTGTGTTACAAATGTTCTACTGAGTGCAACCAAGACCATATTTCTCATCAGCAGGGTGCGTATACAACAGCTAAAAAAGTGTAGTATAAGTTGCAAATGTATATTCTGCACATGATCATAATTGATGTGAGTTTGTGTTTTATAGGCCTACACATTAAAATAATGCAGTATATATTCGACTGACGCCAGCAGGATTTTAATACATATACTGTGGATGCGAACTGTCAGTTGGTCATGAGGTGCCCCCACCCCCACCACCCAGGGGGATCACCCAATCAGAGTAAGGGGCAAAGGTCAGAGTGGACAAGATTGGCTGACAGCAGTACTAAGCTGTCATGGGAAATGTAGTCAGTTGGTGTTAGATCACGTGGTAAAGTCGTCGTAATGGTCTGACAGCCCCAAAGCCAGGCGGTATTTTCTTAGTCTTAGCTGGATAAGCTACCATAGCTTTAAAGGTCCCATGTCATGCTTTTCCGGTTATTATCCGTCCCCTTGTGTGTTATGAAGGTTTTTATGCATGTAAACAGTCTGCAGAGTCAAAACCCTCAAAGTACACCCTGTAGCGAGTAAAACTCTAACACAGAAAATACCTCCCCAAAACGCCTCGTTGGAGATACGTCACTGTCCATTGATTCTTCCGGGTAACTCATGATGTCATGCGTTACCTGGAACCAAATGGACCAATCCGTGGAGCCGTTATGTTACGTCCGCGGAGCCGTTACGTTAAGCCCCCGCTGATTGGTCCAAATTGACCAATCCACGGACTTCCTCACACACACTCAGTGCATGCAGCTCTGCTGATCTCTCCTCCCTGGTTGCAGGTTGATAACAGACAACTTCTCTCTGCAGACCCATTCTCACAGCATTTATCAACCTTTTTCTTACTCAANTTTGTGTTGGTTTTGAGTAGGACCGTGTGTGTTCAGTGTCGCTTTGCATTTTGTTATTCCACCGAACTATAACTCATTCTTTTTCCACATTTAGACGACTCTACCCCAGACGTCTCTCGTTCAACAGACAATGTTGGCGTTTGGTCCTCCTCCTCTAGTCGTCTCGACGTACGTGACCCGGAACAAAAACAAAACAAGGAAACCATACCTCCACGGAGCTCAGTGCGATTCACAACGTCCCGACCAATCAGAGCACACTGTGATCACAGGGAGGGTGGGGGCTGGAGCTATTGGAGCTACAACGAGCCGTTAAAGGCAGAGAGTGGAATTCAGTGAATACACATAGTTTACAGAGATGCTGTATGAGAAACCAAAGTGATTTTGGAAAATTGCACAATATAAATCTATTCTAGTAGACCTCAACAATGGAATTATGATCAGTGGAAATGGCCATGACATGGGACCTTTAAGTAAAAAATGAAAGCAGAGAGCCGACGGGAGTGAGAGCCGTCTCTAACCTTTTTTAGGGGGGACAGAGAAATGTCCTTTCCCTTTTTCTATTCTTTTTATCTGTTAATTTCTGTAGTAAAATGTATTGCCAAAAACACTAAAATGTTGGTCAAAGATAGCATAATAAATGCTCAAAAAAGTGTATTTTCATCCCCATTTCCACCCTGTCGACTCCTCTCCAACTCCAAATCCTTCAACCTAAATGTTTCTACCTCAACCCCACTCACCCTGTCTTACCCACCGTGCCCACAGGTAAATATGCCATGAGGGACCTGGTGCACCGTTTGCCCGGAGGCAGCAACAACAACAACACTAGCGGCAGTGGAGGCGGAGGAAGCAGCAACAGCAGTGTCCTGGCAGGAAAGACCATGTCCGATGACACCATAACCGCTATCTGCTGCGCACTGCACGAGGTTATCACCAAGAACATGGAGAACACCAAGGCCCTGAGGGACGCCGGCGGCATAGAGAAGCTCATTGGCGTCGCCAGGAGCAAAGGAGACAAGTAAGCCGAATGGAAAGATGATGCCAGGTGGAAGGGGGTAAAGAAAGAGAAAAGGATTAGCCTGAAGAAGAACAAGAAATACCATCATGGGGCAGTTTTCTTATAGATTGATAGAAGATGCAACAGCATTAAAATCTGTTTTATTCTGATATTAGAAAGAAAACAAAGGGAATTATTTTCATCTGTCAATCTAGCAAATGAGAATAACTACCTCACCAAAAGCCAAAAAATACATAAATGTAAATACAAAAATGTATGTAAATACAATACGTATGGCAGAAGGGGAACGTAGAAAATGTAATCAGTCCACTGGGCAAATCAGTGGAATAGAAAAGGTTTGTAAGGTAACGTGGTAGAGAGATCATGCAGCAAAGAAAGAAAGGTGAGGTAGGAGGAGGTTGTCAGTAAAGTTAGAGAGGCTGTGTACTTGTTTTAGAGCTATGAGTCAGCAAAACGCAGAAAATAAGGTCTAAAAGAAAGATGGCTAGTATATGTCTGTTTACCTTCATACCCATACACAACCCAAATACAGGCTAATTTAAAGGTAACTTCATTCCACTAGTCAACTACCAAGAAGTCAGCTACTAAGATCTAGCCTTCTAACGGCCCGCCCACACACAGGCATGAAAAAAATCTTGAAAAATCTTGATGCTGGGCGTGTCTGAAGCTTGGCGATTTCACGCGCCCAAGGCGACCAACAACCAATCAGGAATCTCCCGCCCGCCCCCGGCATGCAAAGCCTGTCCATTCAATGATAAAACGAAGTAAACTGGATATAAACTCCCCAAACAGGTGAAAACCTACCAGTTTCAACAACTGTCTCTGCCACCTCCCTCCATGCCTGGTTCCTCCGGTTTAGGTCCCGGTAGATGAACAGAGAGCAGTCGTAAAGGACCGGGACATTTCCTACAGCGATGATTAATTTATCCTCCATTTTAATATGGAAAAGACCGAAGCAGTATCTGCATACAGTACACGCGGTTTGATTGGCTAGCGCTTGCACTGGCGGGATTTGCATAAACGGGATTTGATTGGCTGATGCCAGCTTCGCAAGCATTGGGAGCATCAAAAGTTGAACATTGCTCAACTTTTGATGCTCACGATGCTTGCAAAGCCATGCTCCGCTCCCCACAATGCAGTTCGGTGAAGATTACAAAATCTTCTACGTCACCACATTCAAGTGAATGGGCGAAGCTTTGAAAGATTTTTTTCATGACTGTGTGTGGACCGTAAGCTAGTTAGCTTTAGCAGCAGTTTAGCTGGGTTCTTTTCTCTGGCATTGTAGGATTTAGTTACCGCCTCATTTTGGATATTTACTGTGATACTTTTCATTTACAGATAACAGCTATGAAAAAATATGTAGGTATAGCTTTAACTAAAGCTATATGTTGCTTTCTCACCAGCTATCTTTCATTTGATAGCTTCTTTGCTATTTGCTAGCTGTCAAGTTAGCTGCATTTTGTAGTTACTGCACATTTTAAAATCTGCTCTGACAGAAATTGACTAACATTTCGAATCTACTAAAACATGTACATGTTTTAAATTGGTTGAGGACCGAACTTTGGCTAAATATGACGTGTGTTGCCGTTGTGCAGTAGGCTATAGCAGACGGCAAATTTGTTTGCGCTCGCTCTGTGAATAATCATAGGATAAAACCAATTTATGTTAATATTCGAAGAACCAAACCTGAAAATAAAAGAATAACATTTCCCAAAATGACAGGAAGAAATACATTCAATTTGTTAGGCTCTGATAAGGCCATATGAGCCAATTAAACCCACAGCCATTAGTCAACTGAGTGAAACCCTGGAGGACACAAAATGAAATATTGGCCAATCATTCAATCAAGCAATGCAATTTGGCCTCAGTACAATTTAAGTGCCATATTTGAGGACATAAAAAAATGCATTTTCATTGTGCACCTTTATCCATTCATTTTTATAGCAGTGAGATAAGCTTTACTTGTTTAGTGTCCTTACTTTATGTTTTTATTATTCTGCATTCTAATGTTTTTATAGCTCCTGATTGCACAAAACAAAATGAAGGACAGTCAAGCTTTATACTGTATGTGTTTTTTCCTCTGCTGAATTCCCAAATATAGTCCTAAAGTGGTAAAAGCAGCTTCCCAAGTCCTGAACAGCATGTGGCAATACAGAGACCTCCGCAGCCTCTACAAAAAGGTAAAGTTTAAATGTGTGCCCTGGCTTTATTTACGCCGAGTTATGATGATACAATTTTAAATTGTGGAGATGCATTATTTTTTTACACAGACTCATATTTCATCTCCTCTTGCAACCTCTCCTTCCATCTTCAGGATGGCTATGCCCAGTACCATTTTGTCGGCTCTTCCTCCACGATAGAGAGAGACAGACAGCGACCTTATTCTTCCTCTCGTACTCCGTCCATCTCTCCTGTACGGACTTCACCAAACAATCGATCAGGTGAGTCTACCCACCCCTCACTCTCTTGTCTTCTCTTTTGTCCTCTATCAATCTTTCCAACAGTCAAGTCAAATAAACTGCTTCAAACTGGCTTAAATCTGCTTTCACCTTCACACTACAACAGGCACTGACCAATTATTCTGCTGTCAAATAAAATCCTTGCACGGTCTCCTAAAGAAACTTTCTGCCCTTGAGTTGTCAAGACTTAGGTTTGACTAATATAAGCTTTCCAGGCTTCTGCATTTTTGGACTCATGACAACATCTTCTAATGTTAACTAAATCTTATAAAATTGCAACATACAATGTAATCAGTGTTTACCCCGTGAGATGTATTCTATGCTTGGTCCTAAAGCTTCTAAAACCGACTTTTGGGACAATAACAATGTCCAGCAAACCAAAATAAACAATACATTTTTCATGATTGAAAATGTGTGAAATATAATTAAAATATTATACCCCATTTCTCAATGCACCACACTTTGAAAAATCATCAGAACTGGAATTACACTGTCAACTGTTAGTGGCAATTGGATAATACTTAGATTCGGAAGCTTACATTGAAAAAAATGTGTTGTTTCTTAGTTCAGAATTATACCATTATCACAAACTTGTGATACATGCACAGCATTAAGAAATTGACAATGTTTCTCTTGTCTCTCTTGTTTCTAAAATTGTTTTGGGCCCTTTGCACCTGTCGGCCTGCATACATTAGACTAACATACACAAATACACTTTTTAAATGATTACATTCATACAACAGTTGCTTACTGCAACAGCATCAAAGGTGATTAGCCATCTAGGTGCCGATATTACAATAGACTGGTGATATTAGCAGAGTATTAATGAGTATATGGATCAATGGTAAATGTGTTTTACTGAAAAGAGACAAAGACACTGATGCATCCACACAAAACAGGCCGGCCGGCTGCACCATAGCCAGCAGCTTCTTTGTGAAAGGCTGTTGATAATGATTTGAGTATATTAGCGAACACTATACATATAGCACTGAATCATAGCCAGGTTTCCTCCAACATGGCTAACCAGATCTTACTCATTATCTTTCACACTGCACCCCCTGTCCGACATTTATTATCCTCTTTTTTCTTCTGGATTTTTAGGTAAATCATGCCAAGACAGAGATGAATGGGTCAGTGGGATACTTAGATGGTAATATGTACTTGTTGTAAATACTGGTGGAGAAAGAGTGGCCTGCAGCCACACAGACAAAAAAAGAGAAGCAAGAGTAAATCAGATTCAAGGAGGGGGATGACTCAATATTTACCTCTCATAAAATCCCACCCCGGTCAAGAAGCCAGACTTGTGAAGAGTGCTTTGGTAACCACAGAGTAACAACACAAACCACAACCAGTGCCCCCGTTGATGATTCATATCAGGGTGATGTTTACAGGAAATAATACACAAAGAGTGCTGTGCCTTTGTGGAGGTAAATACAAGAACCTGAGATGCTTTGTAAAGTACAAATCACTCTGGCCTTTCTGCTGTGAAGGGACTCTGGCGTCAAGTGCGTAGATAATGTGTTCATGATGGATTGAAGGTTAAAGATATCCCCCGTGTGTTTGTGTGTGGTGTTTTGTGTAGCGAGCGCCCCTACTTCCCCAAGAGAGATGATGGCATTGAAGGAGAGGAAGGCAGACTACGAATCGACTGGCAATGCTAGTTACCATGGCAACAAGGGCGAGCACACATCCCGGAAGGACGCCATGATGGGTAAGAACTCCATAATGCATGTCTGACACAAAAAAACTGTCACATGTTAGTGTGACATTTTATAATATTTAAGGAACACTTTAACATATTGGTTGTTATTTCTTGCAAAGTGTTGAATGGAAAAATCAATACCACACTCTACTCATACACTGTGTGTACGAATAACAATAACACATTCTACAATGTATCAGCAGAAACTGCCCTCCTTGCTGTCACTGAGGAACTGCACACGGCTAAAGCAAACTCCCTCTCCTCTGTCATCATCCTTTTGGACCTGTCTGCTGCATTCGACACGGTGAATCATCAGATCCTCCTTCGCACTCTCCAAGAACTTGGAGTTTCAGGCTCTGCACTTTCCCTCCTCACCTCATACCTCAAAGACCGGCACCTACAGGGTAACTTGGAGAGGGTCCGAGTCCGACCCTTGTCAATTAACTACAGGGGTCCCTCAGGGCTCTGTCCTTGGTCCCCTCCTCTTCTCCCTGTACCCAAACTCGCTCGGGTCTGTCATTAGCCCGCATGGTTTTTCATACCACTGCTACGCTGACGACACCCAACTAATTCTGTCCTTTCCCCGCTCAGAGACCCAGGTCGTCGCACGCATCTCTGCTTGTCTAGCTGACATCTCTCAGTGGATGTCTGCTCACCACCTCAAGCTCAACCTTGACAAGACTGAACTGCTTTTCCTTCCGGGAAAAGATTGTCCCACTCTTGACCTAACAATCAACATCGGCACCTCGATTGTTTCCCCGACTCAGACTGCAAGGAATCTGGGTGTGACCCTACTTAACAAACTGTCCTTCACTGCAAATATAGCTGCTACAACCCGCTGCTGCAGATACACGCTTTACAACATCAGGAGGATACGTCCCCAGCTGACCCAGAAAGCGACGCAGGTTCTGGTCCAGGCTTTCGTCATCTCACGCCTAGACTACTGCAACTCCCTCCTGGCTGGTCTACCTGCATGTGCCATCCGACCTCTGCAGCTCATCCAGAATGCAGCGGCTCGTCTGGTCTTCAACCTTCCTAAATTCTCCCACACCACGCTGCTCCTCCGCTCCCTTCACTGGCTTCCAGTAAATGCTAGAATCCACTTCAAGACAATGGTACTTGCGTACCATGCTGCGAATGGATCTGGCCCTTCCTACATCCAGGACATGGTTAAACCGTACACCCCAGCACGTGCACTCCGCTCTGCATCAGCCAAACAGCTCGCTGCACCGGCACTGCGAGGGGGACCCAAGTTCCCATCAGCAAAAACACGTGGGTTTGATATCCTTGCTCCAAAATGGTGGAATGAGCTCCCCATTGAAATCAGGACAGCAGAAAGCTTACACATCTTCCGGCGCAGACTGAAAACTCATCTCTTTCGACTCCACTTTGAGCGATAGAATTACTAACAAAGCACTTATATACTAATAAAGGACTGGCTTATCTAAAGCCAGTTGAGTAGCACTTGAAATGTTTGGCTCTATGAAACCTGATGTACTTATATGATTCTGTTTTCTTCAAGTTTGTACTTTGTTGGTCGAACCCACTTATTGTAAGTCGCTTTGGATAAAAGCGTCAGCTAAATGTAATGTAATGTATCAGTGTAAATCGGAAAGAAATTGAACAAATTAGAAATACGCTGTTGAGACAGCCAGATAGAGCTTACTAAAGGTCAGACTTCACTATCTGAAAAACAAAAGCTGAATATGAATTGTGTTTCTCGTTATTCAGAAAACTATAGGGAGTGTTTGTAAGTCTACAAGTGGGATATTTATGATTAATACAATGATTTAATGCTGTTTTTGTCATGGTTTTCAGAGAAGGTTTGGTATTTCATTGTGCAATATTGGCACGTTTCTCAGCCTATCAGTAGTTATATGGGGAAAAAGTAGCCCTTAGTTATTCCTAATCATCATCATCATCATCATTATCATTCATTGTCATTTTGCTTCTTATTCTTAATTTAAAAAACGCTCCTGAATCAGTTTCGGAGCAAGCATCCCTCTGAAGTCCTCATCTTCTCTGTCCCTGCAGGTCAAATCCCCGGTGGGTCGTCCACGCTGCACAGAGGAGCATATGTGTCGCCTACCGATGACCTGAAGTACAATCAGGTACTACAACTTTAAATACTAAGAACTATGAATATAAACTATAAATGTTTAAAGAGTCCCATATGGGTTTTATGAATACTATAGAAAATTGCTCCCAAGGTTTTGCATTTGATTCTGAATTGTTGCCAATTGTTGTAAAAGCCTTTTATATTGCCCATCCCCCTCTGGCAGACATATCTGATGTAGGTTTTATCTCTAAATTTATGACTGGGCATTCTCAAAGCAATGCTTATCCAATTTGAGATAATAGTTTGTTCCGGGATGTGTGCAATATCAGCTTTGGGTGAAGTTTGGGTCTCAAATCTTCAGCAACACCAGTAGCTTAAGTAGGGGCAAGTTCAAAAGACGCGGGTACAAGCACCTTTGCCTGGTTTAGACTTTTGTCTGTCATTAGCTGCCATTAATCATTGGAATTGATTGTGTCATGCTACCTAGCAATATGTAATTGATACATATCAACCGGTTTTCGGATTTATAAATCTTAATTATTTGGGTGCATTATTTTCAACCACTCAGAATTTTCAGAAAGTATGGTCAGTTTAGAAGTCTTGTCCATATCCTCATGTCATGATGGTTTGGACCAAGCCTTTAGCGTTGGTCGATTGGATCAATTCATCAGCTTTTGGAGATCTTACTTGGCCGTCGCCATTTTTTCTTTTTTTTTTCTTTTGTGTTGAATAATAGTCTGTACCCAAAAAGCGATTTAAAACTGCGCTCAGGGAGAAAGGGATATTTTCACACCTAACTCTGTGAAATTAGGGTCTATTTGGAGAAAAAATAAATTGCCAGTTTGATAAGATTTCTCCCAACCCTAATCTGTATCAGAGCTGTTCTGTCACTGATGATCTTTGCCTTTTTCTTTTGACAGATCTCTTCTCAAGGCCTGCCTTCAGAGCCCTACCCTCCATTCCAAAACCCTCCCCCACCCGATGGTGTCAACTACGAGGACCAGGCCTTCTACGAGAACCAGGTCCTCGCGGGAGGGCGCCCTCCCCAGGGTGACCTCAACATGCACCTGCAGGGCCTCAAGTCCACCGGCAACTATGTAGACTTCTACTCCGCCTCGCGGCCCTACAGCGAGCTCAACTATGAGACCAGCCACTATCCGGCCTCACCAGACTCCTGGGTCTAAGGGGAGATGAGGGTGGAGGGTTAGGAGGAGAGGATGGATGGTGAAGTGGGGGGGTTTAAATAGAGGAGGAGAAGATGAGAGGACAGTTTCCCTCCATCCCCATCCTCCCCTGTGGTTCCTGAGTAGCATCATAGATAGCAGGACAACAGAAGGGGAGGATGGAGAGCAGGAAAAGTGAAAAACTGAGAGTCCTTTCAGAGACATCTGAGGGAGGAGGGGAAGTGGACAAAGGAGGACCAGAAGCAAAACGGAGGAGCGGCCATGCATGTGCATGTACACCACCAACAAAACTGACGGACATATTTTCTTTCTGTGTTTAGTTTGCGATCAACTACTGCTAGAAGGTTCAGCAGACAGAAAGGCCTCCTGCACCTTAAGGCCTCTGGATACAGAATGTAAGAGAGATGGATATGAGGGAAGAGAGTGAGAGAGAGAGAGAGAGAGAGAAGGAAGAAGTGGGGAATATGTGGAGGAGAAGAAGGACAATGGAAGAAAAAAAATGAATCAGTGGACTCAAGAATGGACGTTTTTGGATTGTGAATGGAACGTGTGAAAGATACCCAGGAGAAAGCTGTATATATGTGTTATAGCGTCATGGCTTTTAGTAATGTGAAGCACAAGAAGCAGAGCTGTAAGACATGTAGGACGTCTGTCACACACACCTTTGTTTCTCTCTATGGCTTCGGTGTGATGTATCCTCCTCTGGGCGAAGAACGCCTCAGGACTTTGTCATTTGTAACAGGTTTTTAATTTTCTTTTGTTGTGTTTCTACTTTTTTAATTCTGGTTGTATAGTATTTGACGTACACTGTACATTTACGGAGATGCATTGCGTACTGTACATTGCACTATTTTCTGTGTCATGTCAGGCCTTTCGCCATTTGGTCAACCTTCACTTCCTCAATAACTCTCCCCCAAAAAAACGAAAGAAAAATACACACACAATATCTGCACTCCCATAATTCATATCACAGCAACAGACAGATGTCAACATGTAACATATTGGATATGAATGGGTATTAAGGCATCAATTCTGATAGGTCATGGTGCTCTTTTAACTGCCCTATGGATGGATTTCACGTTATTACTGACCTTTAACATTTAAGCAGCCTTTTTTCTGTGACAATACTCACATTATTTTAGGCTAGCTTTCGTTTATTGGTGGCTATCTCGTCACATTTTCACCCCCTAAATCCTCGTTTTGTTCCCATGAGCGTCTCCTTTGAGTGAACTGTGCTCATTGTGTATATAACCGTGCCAAACAAGGGTTGCTTCCCCTCATCTGTAGAAGGGGGAAGGTTAGGGGCGTGTTAAAGGGTCCAAGTTCAGCTTAACGTCCTTGCGGTTCTAACAATGCCAGTTTGTAAATGCTTTGGTTTTTCTAAACTGTGTTTTACTGGGATGAAACCTGCCTAACTGCACCAGGACTGGAGAGAAAAAATAAAAAGAAGAAAAAAACGACAAAAAAAGAAGATCACGGAGGGACTGCGACGGGGGCGGAGCTAGGCTTCCCCCAAAGTTGTACAAAATTAGTTGATTTCTGTGTTGTAAAATAATCAATGTTTGAAGTACAAAAAAAAAACTTTTCTGAGAGATGGGTGGCAATTCTAACTTCATGGTAGACAAAACTGTTAATAGAGTACGGATATATATTATATAAATATAAATATATACTTTTTATGTGCAGATGTGGATGTCACTTATAGCAGCAACATTATGGAAAAAATACTTGTAAAAAGAAAAAAAAAACAGCTACATGTAGGAATTTTGTTCACATTTTTTATTTCCTGGTCAACACACTAAATTGTCGACTTTGTGTAGTAATGTTGTTGCTATGTGGAGTAGAGTAGACCAGGGCCCAGGGATCCACGTTGTCACTGAAGCAGTCCGAAAAGGTGCTACGTCCAAGTATTTCCAACATGTCTGTATTTTAACTGTGCACAAAATGTATGTTCCCCTTGAGAACCATTGGTTATCGGCCAAAAACAGGAAACAGTCACGAGTTTGATTCTTGTATTTCCCATGCATGAAAACACTAAGTTCTGATTAATTAATCTAATTATGCTAAATAGCAAAAGTCAACCCATGAGTGCATGAGTATTTGTTGTTGGTAAATTTGAAAACTAAATGGTGATTTTTTTTAAAGTGAGAATGGCTAAATTGTTATACATGACAACAGACCCTGGTTCTCCCTACCCACTGCGTTTTAGAAATCATAGAGGTCATCTTCTGATGCTTGAAAAAGAACTCATAATGCAACAGTCCCCCACAAAAACACTGGATGAACAGATGTATTGTGCTTGTGAGTAAGCATCTGGAAACTGACAATGTTATGTATGTCCTTGTGATCCTTAGGCAGAAGAACCTAACTAAGACCTGTATGGAGATATAACGTTGGTAACCTTTTTGTTGCTAGACCAAACGTGTTTTAAAAAGAGAATTGTGAATCTTTCTATTGCCTCAAACAGATTGCAACTGCTCCAAAAAATATAAACGGACCATCGAAGAACCTCTGATTCTGGGAGTTGTTTGTTCTGTTGCCAAGAAGAGTCTATATGGTTATGTTGTGCGTGTTTAAAAAAAAGTATTTCTGGTGCTCTATGTTTCATCATTAACTATGCATAATGTAGGGATGTAAAGTATGCAATATTCCTAAAGCATGGCACAAACTATTTGAAATTATTTTTGCAGCCTTTGCATTCCTCTTCTTAGTACAATATGCACATTTACTAAGACCTGAAACTTGCTAAACAACTCACCCGTCTCAAGGAAAATGATATTGCTTTAATTTTACAGTCACTTATCTTCAAATGGAGCTGAAGTTCTAGGGAGATACAAATGTTTGGGCCAAGAAGAGAAAAAGATTCAAATGGGCCAGAGAGAACAAAACGTGAATCAAGAAATGTGAAATGTGACCGGAGCAAGAAGGTAAAATGTACATTATTTCCCAATTTGAACTAATGTTGCAAGATGAATTTCTGCATAAAACTACACAAATTAAGAAGTTTCCTTGAACTTGTAAATGACTGAATGGAAGAATTGTGCTTCCTGTTGCACTGTCGTTAGCGGAAAAGCCATACCAGTGTGCAACAAGACCAGCAAGTGATGCTTGGTAGGGAAGGAAAACCAAAACATTTTTTAAATTACATTCTCCAAAGACCAGAACACATTTGAGAGAAAAGACCAAGATAATAGAAATGCTTTGAGACTTGGCTTCAGTATTACAGCCCTTTAATTTAGGTGGTTTGGGTTTGAACATTGTCTTAGTAAATTGCTCTGTATACTCCATTATTATATTGAAGGGAGAATAATTACATTGTATGAACATGGTCTGGAGATTCTAGTGCAGCCTCTCAGACTCCGAAAGCTTTCCAGTACTTCAAAACAGAAGAAACAGAAGATTAAGCAATTTTTTTAATGGCATAAGAGAAAATCTATATTAAGGGTCAGGAGGGCTCTCTAGTGGTCATTCGAGAAACTGCACCACATGGTCGGGTGGCGGCCATTTTAGTCTCTGAGGCCTGTTCTGCATGGCTCTCTGCAGATAGATCACCACACCACAGGCACAGATTTTTATCTTTGAAAGCAAAAAGATAGCGCAAATCTTTTTCATTACATATACACTGTTGGAGTGCAGAACAAAGCACGGACGAGACGTCAAGTCACAGCACCAGAAAAGAGGGAAGGCTGGTGTGCATCTTTTTTTCCATATCTAAGGTAAATTACTTTTTCTTGCAGGACATCATCCCTGCTGAGGTAAGGAAGTAAATTATGTTCTATCTGCAGTGTTTGATCAGCCAAACATATTTAATGGTTCCTAGGACAGTTAATTCTAAAAGCTAAGCTTGTGTTGGCATCAAGAGTCTTTGTCAGTTTGCTTTGAACTTTCTATACAGTTTTCCTACCAAAACAGCTAAAGCAGCTAAATTGTCTTACAGTCATTTTATATCTTTAACATAGGAGTGTCAAGAGATTTGTTTTTATTGAAAAGTATTTTTCAAATTGTGAACTATTCCTGTATTATGCTGTTAAAGAAAGACAGTAACACATTTACATTATCTTATCAGAGCATGAGTTGCAATGATATCAAACAACTAATCAACTACATAATATGGAGGTTGAACCAAATTCATTATCTGAAACAGAAAGAGCTGAGTAGAAATACAACTAAATGAAGAACAGCTATACCAGGATTGTGAGTTTTGACATTTTAAATTGTTGTTGAAAATGGGTTTGGGGCTAGATTGCGCCAATTGCAATTCGGAAAGTGAGGCAGAAAGTTACTTTTCAGTTGGGTAGCCTCGAAACATTTCCGCTTGCAGATATTGGGATGTTTTTTTTTCATTGGTAAAAATTGAATTTATTAGCCTCCAGGGTTTTGGTAGTGATCAACAGCTCGTAAAAAAACTACAATTTTTCATTTCATATAGTATACCAGAGAAAATGATCAACCCTTCAACAGTATCAATTCAAAACAGAAAGTTGCCATGGACAATGAATTAGGAAAAATGCCATGGATGATACGGATGACAAACCCAAAAAAAAGGTACAGATATTTACCAAAATATGTAATGCCCTTCGCTTACTGACATTTTGTAGCCTTATATTACATTTCTTTGTATTTTGTAGAATTCAAATACACATGGATTCAATAATGAATAATATATAGTGGACCTCCACTTCTCATAGAGCAGGAGATGCCCACAGTACCAGTGTAGCAGAGGACTATCTTGTGATTATTTTGGAAGTCAATAAGTCACAGTCTAGCACTAAGCTGTTTATTTTTGGCTCTGCCTCCCCACTTCTCCACAAAGCCGTAACAAAGCCTGTGTGAGCTGGCTCCTCAGCTCGGCTGTCAAATGCCGCTCACAAATACCTGTTGTATATGTATCAGTGCAAAATGACTTCTTGGCTTATTCCCGCAGGCTCGCTGATCCCTTCCTGTGACAATCTGCTGTCACAGCCAGCCACCAATCTTCATTTGGCCGTGTCGGAGCTATTCTCTCCAACCTGTAAAATCCCACGACTTGTTGTCACCTTCCTGACTTTTCAAGCCCCATTTCCCCCCTCTTAAAATGTCTCTCTGGCAATGTTTTCCTGTCAAAGTTCACTTCAACAACTACAGTTGTCCTGTAAATGTTCATAATGACTCACAAATACATAATTTGGACTAAATAGGAAACAAGGCAACAACTCCAACAATGGCGAGAAAACCATATTGAACCTTTTCAGTTGTATTTACATCAACGGAATCCTTTCTTCATTGGTTTTCCTAGAACTGCGTAAAGTGTTGTCAGGGTTTTCGAAAAAGACACCAGTACTCCCATTTCCCTCATCTCCTCCTTATCTGAGGTAACATTTTTTGCCTCTCCTCCTCCTGCCTCCTCTCTATTCTCTTCATCTTGTAGTTCCACTTGGGGATCTGTAGCTGGTTGTTGTTCCTTCTCCGTTTGAGTATTTCGGGTAAGTAGCTTGAAGACGGCGCTTTGCAAAGCCTCAATTTTGGCACCACCGTGCCTGGCCGCACACTGTTCCTCCTCAGCAGATGCAGAGGCAGGAGGCTCGCCCGCCTCATGGCCAACGTGGCCACGTCATTTAGCAGAGGCTGCAGGCTGGCCCTCCGATCCAGCACTTTGGGAATAAGAAGGACCTTGGAGTTCTGGAAAAATCTCTTGTAGTTGTTCAGTCGTTCCGGGCCCATGTACTTCAGCTCAGAAACCCGTTGCTTCCGCAGGATCTCCTGCACGGCCTGACGACGCTTCCCGAGACACGGGGGGCTGCCTGGACACACTGTGCGACAAGCTGTGGCCATGAACGGAGAGCAGATGCTCGTGGTGACCTGGACCATGTGCTCAAAAACTCCATCATCGACAGGGTCTACCTTATTATTAATGTAAAACCTATAAGGGCAGCACGAAAATAAGTCCATCAACCGCTTCTTGCAGGACTTCGGCTCCTCGGACTGGGCCGCCCGCTCCTGCACAAGATCAAACGTTACAGGAATCATCAGTTTAAGGCATTATGAGGCGCATTCAATAGTAAGAGTGTAGTCATTATGGATTTATTGACCTCCAACATGGGCCACTCCAGAGAGAAGGAGTCACAGAACTGCTCAGCACAGGGCCTTGCTATCAGCCGTTGCATCAGATAGGCCGTCTCATATCGACCGGTGAAGAGAGCCCACTCCCTGGGTGTCAACTGGCGGCCATTGTCCCGAGCCTGAATATCGCCTCCTGGAAACATAAGGAGATATACAACTGCTCAGTGCAAGGGAGAATCTGGGAGTAGAGCTGTTCTATAAACGGTGTGGCCTTCCATTGGCTAAGATAATAGATCATAGTGTGTGCTCTACCAGACAGCATGAGAGTCCTGACACACTCGGCCCGGCCCTGCATGGCAGCCTTCATCAGCGCTGTGAAACCGTGACAGTTCCTCCTCTCCATGTCCATCCCTGGAAAGTAATTGAGCAGGTAGTTTGCGATGTACCAATAACCTGCAGACCGGGAGAGAAACACAGACTTGTGTTACACAGCTTTGCAATGGCAACTATTATTCTGATGTATCACCCACATTTTCTACATTTCTACCTTTTCACTTATTTTTTCAGTCATTATAACAACTTTCCAGGAAACGGTTTTGTATCTGTCCATGTGTGACATTTCACTACAGCTAAATTCCCTTCTGTAAGGGAGGAGCACCTAGTGGTAGGCTTGCCGTCATGTTTCAGTATACTTGCGTAAAGGCTACTAATCATATTCGTTCATCACATTCATTAGACCCCTCACAAATATCTTTGATACACATGTGAAGCTACAATGTATGTTTTTACAGAAAATTGCCTAGTAAAAATTATTTTATGACATACTATATATATTATATAATAAACTATAACAAAAATGTGTTAACTGTGCCATTATGTAGGATTTTTGAATGACATTTTTATGGCATACGATATGACCTTATATAACCTTTTTGTGACACGTTCCAGATTATGCTTTTGATTCAACCAGACACAACACAGCACGTTTAAGAACTGTTCCATGAGTGTCTCTCCTCTTAACTTAAAATACGCTATAGTGTATTTTGACAGAACACAGTTGAGCGGATGCACCCAAAACTGTCCTTCATAACACACAAGGGGACGGGTAATAACCGGAAAAGCATGGCATGGGACCTTTAAGTCTTAAAATGATATCCATGTATTAAAAATAATAGTTTTATTTGATGGATTTGTGAATCTTCCCTTACAAAAACAAGTGGCCTTGCCCATAAAATGATGAAATTCCAGGCCTCTTGATACTGGGAGTTCACATCTGAGGACCTGGATTTATTACCATTATACGTCTGGACACTTTCTACCGTTTTTGAAGGCTTTCAGGAAAAAAAAGCTTTTCTCCTCATATGTATTTGACCACTCCACTGCAGCCTGGGCCCACAGTCTTGGTCACCTGTTCCCCTGAGGTGTTGCAGAGTACTTTTTCATGAAGGAAGATCAATACTTCTTTTAATGAAGCAGAAAATGAAGAGGAGTCTGCAGCTATTCATCACAGGACACAAAGAGCCATTCATCATCATTAGCAGATGAGACTCCGGGCCGCTGTGTCTGATACATATGGTTGCATCACTATGAAATTACTTACCGTGGTACTTTTTATTGGCAGAAAAAAACGGTGATTATTGCAGCTGAAAGCAACGGACCTCATAATATGATCTGTGCTTTATTTTGGACCCTTTCTTACCTAATTTGGACTAGATTTGCTACAGTATCAATTGTTCCACTCTAAAGTTGGGGAATAGATCACAGAACGCATCTGAACATAGGGAGGATGATCAATTCCTTGATGGTGACAAAATTAACCACTTACTTATTGGTAGCTTCTAAGTCTCGTTCAGAAATGTTAGTAGTATCAATATTCTTGTCGAACTCTACGTTTTTAACTTGACAGGGCAGAAGCTCTTGATTAAGTTCAGTCTGTGTATGTCAACACAGTATATGTTGGTCTAATCAGGCTAAAATAGTTAAAAGACCTGTGTCGGCGCTCCCACATTGTGAAAGGCATTTTAAGAATTCTAAAGAGGTGTGTTTACCTGCTTGTGCTGCAGTAATGAGAGCGGTGTTGCCCTCGTTGTCCTGCCAGTTAATGTCCAGATAGGGGCACTGGGACAGGGCGATGACAATTTCCACGTAGCCATGGTAGCACGCAACAATCAGACCAGACTGAAACAAACAAAAAAGAGTGCTTGAGTCTCTTCTTCTCTCTATGTCTATGATTTGTTTAACTTCAAATTGGTTTCCTGGGGCTTAGGGATAGCTTATTTATGGATTTATCGCCATGTTTCCAAGACCAAATCATTTTAGTGATTTTCATTCAAATAACTAAGAACAGCAGTCAAGCTGCCTAAAAGCAAAGTAGAAGGCTTTTTTCAGTGTGAAAAAGACAGATTGTGAGTCTATAAAATACTGTTATGTCTGGGTAAACATGGGTTTCCAACTGGAGTGGTCACTTGCTGAGCAAAAAATTTCCAAAATGGCTACTATCTGGTTAGCTCTTATGTAAAAGGATAACAGCTATAAAATCAGAGTTAGTGTCAGTAGCATTTTCACAGAAAACACATATAAACAAAGGGGTCAAGGGTTGCATTTTCATGCTTCTAGAAACTGGATAGCGGAGTATTGAGCAACCAGTCTGTGCCATTTTTTGGTTTTCGGCCAAATCCTTCATCCTTAATCTCAATAAAAAACTAATAGACCAGCATCTCCCATCTTTTGCGAGGTCAAATGAAATGTTCTTTTATAAAGGGGTATGTTGGCTTTGAAGAGAGCATGGACGGATATAACCGCTTTGTCTTTGCAAAACCAAACTATCCTTTAAAGGGAGAATAACTGGCATCTCTGAATTGCAAACAAAAAATAACAATAAATTATGCCTTCTGGGTGTTAATAAAGAACCTCATAAAATACAGCTATAGAGTTGTTTGACATATTATACCTGTGTAGGATATGACACTAACATAATTTCAAGGCGGAATACAAGGACATTTTATTCAAGCTTTGTTCTTAGGGTGACAAATAAGTTAGGAGTTTAAAATGATGAAAAACATGAATGTGTTCAAGTTTGTAGGTGAACCCCACGACTGATACAAAGTAGAAGGTTAGCGTAGTCAGCCTGGTTCTAATATATCATAACAAATATTAAAGATATCACACGGTTTTACGGTTATCTACAGATCCTTTTGTGTTAAGGTCTTTTGTTGAATCACACTACAAACAGTGAGTGGATTGACTCAACAGGGATCTGAATCAATTGAAAGTTTCCCAACATTGACAACAAGTCACTCAACAGGACAGTTGGTTGGTAAAATTAGGTAAAAGGGCAATGCTGATTAAGGTCTTCATACCCACAACAAGCTTGATCATGATGAAGTTAGCGTTTAGCTCAATATGCCAATAGCATTTATCTCACCTCGTTAATCATGTCTATGTCAGCATAATGCTGTGTTGACAAACTTCAAGGTTTTCTGAAAGACAATTCTGTGACAGTTCTCCAGGGCAATCCTTCTCTCCAGCTGTGTAAGCATGCAGTAGCTCAGATCAATCTCTTAGCAAGCCCTTTAGAATCTGAGCCCTAACGGCAAGCCGCTTCTCTACAATGTCATTCCTTTCCGTACTTTAAACTACCAATCTGTCATCCGAAGCTTAACCAACTGCTCTGAAGCCTTCTTCAGGATTTGACCATTATTATGGTATGAAAATCATCTGGCTGATTCATATCTTGATTAAGTTGTGTAATCTATTTTAGTTGCCGTATAGTCTGCCGAAACTTGTATTATAAGTTATTATAAGTGCCTGTGCAGACTATTACAATTTAACTACATAGTATTCCCCTAAACCCTATGATATTAGAAAATGAATGGAAACCCATTTCTGCCTGTTAGGCTGTGGCTCAGTGGATAGTGTGCAGGACTTCAAATCAGAGGGTAGCAAGTTTGAGTCCCACTGCAGTCAGCATGTCATTGTGTCCCTAGGCAAGACACTTCACCCCAAATTGCTCCTGTGGGGATTGCCCACAGTACTGAATGTATGTAAGTCGCTTTGGATAAAAGCGTCTAACAAATGACATGTAATGTATATAATTGAAACAACAGAAGCCAGAAATGCATGAAAACCAAGTTTTTCATTCAAATGCATTGATACCCAAAGACCTACTCTTTTGTTATGATCCGTCTCTTTCACTTCCTCTTCGGTCACTCCTTGTCTGATCATAATCTTGACTATGATGGAGTTGTTGTTGCAGCAGGCTTTATAGAATGAAATAGGCTCAGGGCTGTCAGGGCTCGGGGGGCGGTCAGTCTGAAATGGACTGTCTGGAGGATAGAAAGAATCGTCTGAGGCAACACTGTGTGTGTCCGAGTGATCCGGGAGGGACTCAAAGTCCAACTCCTCAAACTCCTGGTAGACCTCATCCTCATCCTCCCAATAGTTTCGCGTAAAATCCGCTTCAGGATCCTCGTTACATTCCTCTTCTGACACATCACTCTCTTCCCCAATTTCGTCAATAGTGGTGATGGACATTGAAGGTATATCCATAGCCCCTTTATCAGTTCTGAACGGAATCTCACCAAGTCTGATGCCTCCGGAAACTCCATTCTCCCGAATCTTTGAAACTTCACTAAGTTCCTCTGTTATTAACACCATTTAAAACCTACCCGGCCCCAACACACTTTAAATTCTAGGGCTGACGACCTAGAGTTCATGTCCATAGGCCTGATGAAGTAGTTGTCTTAACATACCCGATAGAATATTGATTGCTGCCAGGCTATTGACCTCCAACTGTTTCCATCTCAGTCAGGTTTTCCAAGAGACAGGGGTTCACTGGAGATCACAGGGGAGGCATAAGATCATCACTCATGCTAATCTTCCAACATTTTCGGATAAATCTCCTCAGGACACCATCCAGTTAAAGAAGATCTAGAACTCCACAAGAGAATGTCATCAACGAAGGTTTGTTCATATGCTTGATCTGAGGTAGTCACTCATTACCAATGAAGATCGGTATTTCCAAATGACAATTTCGACAAGTTACAAGATGTTGAAGAGTCACTGTCCATTTCCATGTGACACTTCGCATTGAACCCAAAAGCTTGTACGTCAAAGCTTTTAATCATGGCTTCAGTACCCAGACAGGCAGCCTGTATTCTTGCAGTCTTGTTGAGAAGTTTCAAGTAGTCCACTGGTAAGTAAAAAAGAGCAGGTGTCTTGGTTGGAAACAGTCACAACGAAGAGCAATTAATCGTGTGGAGAAACATTGAGCCTTCTTAGACGACGGTTGGCAATGGGATGACAGAGATATTCTCTTGAACTAATGCATGATAATCCTTTTAGTCACTCTCTCTCTCTTGCTCTATCTGATCTCTTGTGTTCCCCTCCCTTTGACAAGACAGTTTCAATTTTTTCTGTAGAAATACAATAAAGTGGAACATAGACGGTACATGCACAGAGGGAATGTTTTTTTAATTTTGTAAATCCTCTTTCTTACTATCTGTTTTACACAGGGAACAATCTGAGGAAGTTTAAAACAACTAAGAATATGCAAAGTTAATGCAACAAATCCTTGAACATTCATGCTAATGTTTACAGCAACGTTCATATTCTTTATTTATGCACCATGACATCAAGTCAAATTCCTAGTATGTGCGAACCTACATGGCAATAAACCTGTTTCTGATTCTGATTCTGATATGGTTCGTTCTGAACTAAATATCCTCATTAGAGAATTACTATCATCAGTACAAGGGGTCAGGCAAGTCCTACCCATCCCCCTCTCTTGTTTCTTCTTCAGTTGCACTTAACACCGCCAGCTTAAATTGGATTTAACGACCAGTGAAAGGACTGGGATCACCCTGAACCCTAAGACATACATTTTTAAGAATGCAATGCCATTCCTTCAAATCAATAGGACTTACATTTTTGGGAAAAAACTTTTTTGACTCTACAGTAAGAATAAAATGCATAACATAATAGAATGAAATGAAGTAAATTAAAAAGAAAGCAAGTATGCTGCATGTATATGGAGTCAAGCATTACTTATTTGACTTGAATTGACAAGTAAATAATCAATTGTGAAATCTTATCTTATCTAATCTCTGCATTGAAACCATTTCATCGAAATGTATGTGGTTTGAATTCCCCACTTTCAAAAGGTTACCACCGATTCATAGAATATGGTCATCATTCAAGTTTCCAATGTATACACATCATGACTATCAGGTCATTCAAATTCAAAAATCCCAATTCTATTAAAAAAATGTAAACATTCAATAACAGATTTTGCGGCTGCTTAGGGGCTGTAGAAAAAAGCCGAAAATATAATTATGTATGGTAGTTGAGGATCCCAATAAAGGGGTGCTCGGAAATAAATCTATTTCCCATGGTCAAGAACTCAGACTGTCAGACTGATTCGTGACAACTGCCTTATGCAAGGGTTTGCCACGAGGACACAGTCTCAGTGTCTGAGTCCACACCGAGCCAACATCAGGTACACAAACACTAATCTCTCGTGGTCAAATCCTTCTTTTCCAGAAACACATTGTACCGTTCTACCCTTCAATTGAACTTTTAAGGAGGTTAATTAATGATTTAAAGTTCTCTTTGACCAAGGTCTGCACTAGTTGTTTAATGACTGGTGTTATATTGGAGAATCTCATCACGACACAGCACTAATCTCTTCAGAGCGCCTTAAGAAGGAACAATCAAAGGCACTTACTCCATGATTAGATCGTCATAAAGAGATTGACCCCAATGTGTTTGTGAAAAATGATGTACGGGTTGGAAAAATCTGATTTAGCTTCACAGTAAAAATGCTGCCAACACTCCTAATCTGAACTTTACTTTCTCAACTGTTAAGACTGTTAGCAGGAGAGTAATTGGATTTATCAGAAATAACCCATCATCCTGTTCCTAGAGCTGCGCTTTCTAGTATCACAATGTTATCCTTAATCGGAACTGGGCTGTTTTAAACTTCTGATGTTTGATTCCCACACAGATTTAAAATCTGTATTTGTGATAAATAAATGGCCTGTGTTCTGTGACATGATAGTCTAATACCTTTTGTCTTAATATACAGGACTGTCTCAGAAAATTAGAATATTGTGATAAAGTTCTTTATTTTCTGTAATGCAATTAAAAAAACAAAAATGTCATACATTCTGGATTCATTACAAATCAACTGAAATATTGCAAGCCTTTTATTATTTTAATATTGCTGATTATGGCATACAGCTTAAGAAAACTCAAAAATCCTATCTCAAAAAATTAGAATAGTTCCTCAGACCAAGTAAAAAAAAGATTTATAACAGCAAAACACAATCAAACATTTTAAAATGTCCATTAATGCACTCAGTACTTGGTTGGGAATCCTTTTGCACGGATTACTGCATCAATGCGGCGTGGCATGGAGGCAATCAGCCTGTGGCATTGCTGAGGTTTTATGGATGCCCAGGATGCTTCAATAGCGGCCTTTAGCTCATTAGCATTGTTGGGTCTGGTGTCTTTCAGCTTCTTCTTNTATAGTGGTCCATCGTCTATAATTAGGTTTTCGTGAGGTGTTTTCAGATCAATCTTCCTTTACACCGTCTGGCTTGACTCGTGTGGTTTCTCTCTTACTGGCTGTCGTTAATGTCTTAATCAACTCTCTCATGCGATGTGTTCTTATATACCCTCTCTGTTAAGTTTCTGTCACCCTGACTTCGACCTTTCAGGTCATATGTTTCAAGTTGTACTAGTTGTTGTCTCTGCACAGGCTCCTTTACCCGATGTATGTTTATCGGCAAATGGGTTACCAGTTCGGTGAAAAGACTTTAGTTCTTGTTGCCTTTCTCACGTCAGACTTGAACCCGATTCCTTCTCTTCGTGACCTGTTCATACGTGTCATCCAGGTTCTTAGGAGAAAAGTCTGTCTTTTCGTTCAAATACATAAAGTAAACCTTTAGTTCCTGGGCAGACCTCTTTCCGACTTTCTCTTCCTCGTTTTAGGTCTATTACGTAATACTTAGGTCACACTTCAAAAGTGTCAGTCGCTATCTCAATTATACTCCTTCTCTGTATAGTCGGACACCACTAACCCAGGTGACTACCAAAGTAGTTTCTGGGTCTTCATTTTACCGTCGACACATGGTTTCTCTATTAATATCTCTGGATGTTTCGAAGCAGACGACTTGTTCGAGATACCTCTACTCCTTAAGTAAAAGGGTCGTGACTAGACGTGGCGGTGTCACGGTTTTGTGTGGTTCATTGACCACATTACTGGTACCGTAATGACAGGTAGCTAACCGAACTGTTTATTTAAGGGACTGGGACTGGGGTATCTCTTATACACTTCCATATACACTTTTCTTCGACTTTCTGGTGGTTGGGTGTTATAGATTACTGATTGTGAGAAATTTCTTTTTGTGTCTTACCCTCCTGATGGAGGGTGTCAATGACGGTCCTCTGGACAGCAGTCAGATCAGCAGTCTTCCCCATACTTGTGATTTAGTTTACTGAACCAAGCTGAGTGTTTTTCAAGGCTCAGGAAACCCTTGCAGGTGTTTCGAGTTAATTAGACGATTCAAGTGATTCGTTGAACACCCTACTAGTATACTTTTTCATGATATTCTAATATTTAGAGATAGGATATTTGAGTTTTCTTAAGCTGTATGCCATAATCAGCAATATTAAAATAATAAAAGGCTTGCAATATTTCAGTTGATTTGTAATGAATCCAGAATGTATGACATTTTTGTTTTTTTAATTGCATTACAGAAAATAAAGAACTTTATCACAATATTCTAATTTTCTGAGACAGTCCTGTATATGTAATTGGTCAGTTTTCTATGCTAGATTAAATGCATTGACTGTATAAGAAGTCGACGTAGTCATTGTTTGGGCTTTTGGCCTTCACCATCTTGTTTTTTGCAACTAGAACTGACACAATAGCATGGAGCAAATTACAAAAACAAACTAGCCCGCCCTAAAGCATACCCTGCTTGTCGTCTATTTTACTCTAAATCGGACCACCTTTTACAAATTAAGGGAAACACGATTGCTCTATGAGCCCCATGGAGGCAGAGGATGCATTTCATTCCTTGCTCAGAAGTCAAACTTGCAAAGTAACGGGTGGGTGTAACCTGGAGACAAATTGACGCACACACAATTGACAATCCATGAAACATTTACAAAAAAACTAAAAGATAGACACTATATTTACACTTGAGCTAGCAATTCCCACATATTTTGACAAGACTGATTCAGTAAACCTGGGCCGAATACTTTTAAGTCCTGAGGTCTCTCTTTCTCCTTTGCCTCTCCCAGGTGCTACCAATCCCTCGTTAGTGCCTCACTAAAGGGCGGAGGACAGCTGCGGCATTTCTTTGCATCTGTGTTGTTGGTGTGTGTGCAGTGTGTTGTAGTGACTAATGGATTTGCCCCATGAACACATTTTAGTTTTTTGCCATTATATCTCATTGTGCCATTTCCTGTTTTCAAGAAAGTTGTCCTTAGTTTGTCTTTTGAATCTGCTGTTGAAGTGACTTTATTTTCAGTTCACTTCA